AAGTGAAGTGTAGATACAGCTTATATGCTTGTCTAGAGAAGTGAAGATAGAGCTCATATGCTTATCTTTGTGAAGTGTGGATACAGCTTGTATGCTTATCTGTGGATATTGTGGTTATACATATCTGTTGTAGAGTGTGGATATAGCTTATATGCTTATCTGTGGATATTGTGGTTATACATATCTGTTGTTGAGTGTGGATATAGCTTATATGCTTATCTGTGGATATTGTGGTTATACATATCTGTTGTTGAGTGTGGATATAGCTTATATGCTTATCTGTGGATATTGTGGTTATACATATCTGTTGTTGAGTGTGGATATAGCTTATATGCTTATCTGTGGATATTGTGGTTATACATATCTGTTGTTGAGTGTGGATATAGCTTATATGCTTATCTGTGGATATTGTGGTTATACATATCTGTTGTTGAGTGTGGATATAGCTTATATGCTTATCTGTGGATATTGTGGTTATACATATCTGTTGTTGAGTGTGGATATAGCTTATATGCTTATCTGTGGATATTGTGGTTATACATATCTGTTGTTGAGTGTGGATATAGCTTATATGCTTATCTGTGGATATTGTGGTTATACATATCTGTTGTTGAGTGTGGATATAGCTTATATGCTTATCTGTGGATATTGTGGTTATACATATCTGTTGTTGAGTGTGGATATAGCTTATATGCTTATCTGTGGATATTGTGGTTATACATATCTGTTGTTGAGTGTGGATATAGCTTATATGCTTATCTGTGGATATTGTGGTTATACATATCTGTTGTTGAGTGTGGATATAGCTTATATGCTTATCTGTGGATATTGTGGTTATACATATCTGTTGTTGAGTGTGGATATAGCTTATATGCTTATCTGTGGATATTGTGGTTATACATATCTGTTGTTGAGTGTGGATATAGCTTATATGCTTATCTGTGGATATTGTGGTTATACATATCTGTTGTTGAGTGTGGATATAGCTTATATGCTTATCTGTGGATATTGTGGTTATACATATCTGTTGTTGAGTGTGGATATAGCTTATATGCTTATCTGTGGATATTGTGGTTATACATATCTGTTGTTGAATGTGGATATAGCTTATTTGCTTATCTGTGGATATTGTTGTCATACATATCTATTGAGAATGTGGATAGTGCTTATATGCCTATCTGTTGAAAAAGGGAAAATGAAAAGTAATTTGGACTCATAAGTCGTGTGGCATAAATGTGTAATTTATGTGAATGTATCAGTGTTGGCCATCTATCAATCGCTAATGTTTTAGGCAATGTTCATGGTTGGTTTAGTATATTTCTACTGGGCTGTGGCTCACCCTATATGGGAATATCATTTTCAGGTACAGGAAGCATGCCACCTCCAAGGACATAGCTTGGGAGGCCAGGACTGGACATACTTTTGTCATATTACTTTTGATGTATTACATGTAGATTCAAGCCAAGGGCTTAATATGTATGAGTTAGTACTCCTTTTGTTGTAACCAAGTGTTAACTTGGAAAGCTGTAAGCCCGTAGGGCATTTGCTTTTGTTGTTAACATGTAATACTTATGTAATGGAATCCTGATAAATGAAAGAATGAGGAACTTTTGAATATCAATGCATGTCTTATTTGTTGGGTCTAATGTTATTATTTTGAGGGCGTTACAGACCCCGTGCAATCTCACTATGTCCTGAATATACAAGTCGGCGAGATGATCTACCGAATCTCTCACGCGCATAGGAATGAAGTGCACCGACTTAGTCAACAGGTCTACAACCACCCAAATGGCATCACTACCCCGCTGAGTCCTCGGAAGACCAACAACAAAGTCCATAGTGACATGCTCCCACTTCCACTCGGCAATAGGCAAGGGTTGTAGCAAACCCGCTGGCCTCTGATGCTCGGCCGTCACTTGTTGACAAGTAAGGCACTTCGATACGAAAACAGCCACATCTCTCTTCATACCCCGCCACCAAAACTGGCGACCCAAATCCCGATACATCTTAGTGCCTCCTGGATGCACCGCAAGACGTGAATGATGGAACTCTCGGAGTACTTCCTCTCGGCAAGACTCCGGCACAAATAAACGGTCTCGGTATCTCACACTCTGGTCGGGATACACCGTCAAACCCTTCTCAACCTTCCCATTTGAGATCTTCTCTCGGAGGGATTCTACCTCAAGGTCACCTCTCTATGCCTCTAGCACTCGAGTCACAAGTGTAGGCTGCGCAACAATAGAAAACAAGGCCGCAGCCTCAACAGATTCGCCCAGAAGCAAATCAAACTCACCAAGCGCACCCAACATCTCCCATTCCCGGATGGCTATACAAGCTAC